GAGTGGAGGGTCTCGACGGAGCCCTCGCTCTCTGACCATAGGCAGATCACTTTCAGGATAGCTAAAACTAGGGGGAAGGAGGTCAAATTCAGGAACCCGAAGAAAACCAAGTGGGATTCCTATAGGGAAGACCTGGCCAGCAGTCTCAAAGACTTCCCTAAGAGGCACGGGACAGAGGATAAACTGGAGACCTGTGTGGACTACTTGCAGAGGTCTCTGGTAAACTTCTACGAAAGTAATTGCTCCGAAAGGGCGGTTACAAATAGTAAAGGAACTTTCTGGTGGACCCCTGGACTGCAGGGTCTCAGAGTGGCGGCTCGTAGAGCCTGGAACAGAGCTAGGAACACGGGCCGCCAATCCGACTGGGAGCTCTCTAGGAGGGCACTGTGGTTAGAGCGAAACTGGAGAGCTGGAGGAAGTTTTGCGAGGAAGTGCCCGAGGGAATGCCTGAAACGGCAAGAATCTGCAGGATCCTCGCTAGGAACCCGGATGCGTCTCTGGAAGCCATCACACTCCCTGATGGGACGGTGGTGACTGGAGAGCGATGTCTGGAGCATCTACTGGAAGTGAACTTTCCGGACTTCCATAGGGAGCCGGGAGAGCTACTTGCATATAAGGAGCCGGGCTCACTCAGAAGAGCCCGACAAGCAGACTGGCGAATGGCGGCCAAGATTGTCATGCCCGAGAAGGTCAAGTGGGCAATTAACACCTTTAAGCCCTACAAGTCAGCGGGACCGGATGGTGTCTTTCCGGCTCTTCTACAAAAGGACTGGAACAGATCTTGGGCCCACTGACCCGAACCTTAAGGGCTTGTATCGCGATGGGCTACACACCCAGCGCATGGAAACTGGCTAGGGTAGTTTTTATTCTGAAGGCGGGAAGAACGAGCTACACCAAGGCAAAGGATTTCAGGCCAATTAGCCTAACATTGTTTTTCCTTAAGACATTGGAGAAACTGGTGGACGCGTATCTGAGGGAGACAACACTGTGGAGTCACCCTCTCTACAAAAATCAGCACGCGTATCGTTCGGGCTATTCCACCGAGACTGCTCTACATCAGACGGTAGCGTTTATTGAGGAGCAGCTGGAAAGGAAGGGCTACGCAGTGGGTGCTTTCTTGGACATAGAGGGCGCCTTTAACAACACACCGCACGAGGTAGTGTGTGAGGAAGCCGCCAGAAGGGGTGTCCCGATGAAGCTCGTCGAGTGGATCTGGGGCATGCTAGGGAGGCGTGTGATGACCTCGCTGGGAACTGCGAAAGTCTGTGGGTGGGTGGGAAAAGGCTGCCCGCAGGGCGGAGTACTTTCCCCACTTTTATGGTGCCTGGTAGCAGACGGTTTATTAAAGGCACTGGACGACAGAGGCTTCACTGCACAAGGCTACGCGGACGACGTGGCAATACTTGTGTGAGGCCCTTTTTTAGAGACGCTTCTAGAGCTCATGCAGGGGGCACTGAAAGTTGTAGAAAAGTGGTGTCAGAGGACGGGTTTGGCGGTGAATCCACTAAAAACCGGTCTTACTGTCTTCACTCGCAAATACAAAGTGGGCACTATTGTAGGACCCACTCTTGGAGGAGTAAGGTTAGTTCCGACCGAATCAGTGAAATATTTGGGAGTTATCCTGGATAGGAAACTGCTTTGGGAGGAGCACCTTCGTAACCGGTGCAAAAGCTTGTGCCAGTATTTTTGGATGTGCAGAAGAACCTTTGGCCAGACTTGGGGTTTGAAACCGAGTATGTTACACTGGATTTACACAGCCATATTTCGCCCCAGACTCACATACGCAGCCGTAGTATGGTAGACTAGGGTGCAAAAGAAAACAGCCAAAGTTGCGCTAGAGCATGTCAGGGCTCTGATTTTGAGAGGGGCCCTGGGTGCTATGGTTACGACACCAGTGGCGGCGATGGGCGTAATGTTCGGCATCGAACCATTTCATCAGGTGGTAATGGCTGCGGCAGCAGTGGCGACATACCGTCTAAGATGCAAACTAAAATGGAAGAAGGGAGCCCAGCATACGAGGCTGCCGGAAAACGTTCTGCTGGATCCGATATTCGAGATGCGACAGGACAGAATACCTATTATTCAGGCTTCTGATAGGCGCTTCAAAGTGCATATACCGAGGCCGGAGGAGTGGGAAAAGGAAGGTGGAAACTTAGGGGCTCGAGTGCGTGGAGGAGATGTCTGGTATACGGACGGCTCCAAGACGGACACGGGCTCCGGGGCCGGCTTCTTTGGCAGTCGAGAGGGATGGAAGGAGAGCATTTCTCTCGACAGTTATGCCACGGTATTCCAAACGGAGATTGTGGCTATCCTAAGCTGTGCTCAGACCGTACGGAGTAGGGTAGAAGCGGGAGAGCACATCAGAATTTGTACGGACAGCCAGGCAGCCATCAAGGCGGCTGGGGCTCCGACAATAACGTCGCGGTTGGTTCAGGAGTGCAGAGGCGTTCTGAACGAAATGGCGAGAGAGAAAGAAGTCACCATTACATGGGTGCCTGGTTACTCGGGCATCCAGGGTAATGAATGTGCGGACCAGCTGGCAAAAGCGGGTTCAGAGAAAACGATGATAGGACCGGGGCCGGCTCTGGGAATCCCCTTTTGTCTAGGAAAGGGGAGGATCAAAGAATGGCTCCGCAGAGAACATCTAAGACACTGGAGAGTGGAATCTGAGTCCAAATGCAGACAGGCTAAAGCTCTAATGGGAGATACTCCTAATGAGAAACTGGCTTGGAGCATAAGGGCTTTAAGTAGAAGAGATGCCAGGACAGCGGTACACATACTGACGGGTCATGGCACCTTAAACTACCACATGTACAAGCTTAGACGTAGCGATACATCCAGGTGCAGGGCATGTGGAGACGACGAGGAAACAAGCCTTCACGTACTCAGCGACTGTCCTGCACATGCAGGGTTGAGACACAGGATGCTGGGCTCAGCACTACTTGGGCCCGAGCAGATCAGGGAGCTGTCAGTGAGGGATTTGATTCTCTTTTGGAGAAAAACAAGTCTCTCATGAGTAAGTTTATAAGGGGAGGCACAATGGACAATGTCTGGGTGCCGCGGGCGGCGCTTCGAAAGAGGAACGCCCCCCCGTTACGATATAATAATAATAATAACGCTTTGACTGAAACATCCAGTGCGCAATGTTATATTTGTGGAGCTAAAATTATTGAAATGATTAGCTTAAAAAATTTAGAACGTAGATTAAAAAATCCCTCAAAACTCAAATTTGGAATATTGATCCTTCATTCTTATATTAAATTTTTTGAATGTATCTTACCGAATGTACTTATCAAATATATATTTCTTATCGCTTAGATTTTAAACAATAGAGGTTTATCTCATTGATTGCAAACATTATTTTTGGCATGTAGCGGAATTAATAATTAATTAAGTGTACGGCAGAAATTTTAATACTTTATTATTATTTTAGTGATATTAATAATAATATTATATAATTATGTTATCATGATATAATAGCTTATAAAATACTACATAAAATTTGTATTAATTGACATAGTAACGCTGCTTTTTACGCAGCCAATTAGACATGATTTATTCCTGAATTCTCACGTCGACAAGTTACGCTTTTAATACATTATATTTATTAATAATAGCATATAATTGATTAATTAAACGAACTTACGTGAAGTTCGATTACAATTATGCTGTCTCGTCCGGATGGATAATCGTAGTAGCGTTCCGCTGCGCTACCTCAACAGGTTTTTAATTAAATTTAAAAAAGGCGCCGCTCACTTACACTTAGGCGCGCCTAACTGCACTCACGAGCCTTCATTAGTTCAAAGCAAACAAATCTGAAATATATGGTGTGGGTGGGAGGGACTCTCCATCCGGACGAAACAGCATAATTGTAATCGAACTTCACGTAAGTTCGTTTAATTAATCAATTATGCAATGTCTCGTCTGGATGGATAATCGTAGATGTTTAAAGCTCAGATTTGTAATGGAGTTAAAAATAAATAAAGTACAACTTTATTTGCCTTTTAAACTTCTTGTCTATTTTATTATAAATGAACATATGACCCAACATACATGTGTAAGTCCGAAACACAAACTATATTTCTTTTTTTTTTTTTACGAGAACTAGTATATAGCCTTATGAAATATTCAGGATCTTAGCCTGAAAAGATGAGTCCGTAATTATTGGTCGATTATAAAATCGAGAAAAAACATCCGAGGACCTGCTCCAACTAGTCCGTCTGATTTCATCTAAGCTAATGCCCCTACTTGCCGCGAGAGATGTTGAAGCATGGCGAGTAGAATGTGCTGAAAAAATACTTATGTCCACTCCCGCTGCGTCTAGTTCTGTCTTGACCCAACGACCTAGTGTCTGGGAAGAGACTGAATTGTGTGGCACACGAAAAAAGATAAAAAAAAAGAGTCGCAGCCCCTCTGACGGAGATCGCAAGTAACTTGAAAATAAAGTTTTATTAAGGAAACAATACAGAGTTCTGGTTTGTCCAGGAAGGGTTTGAATGCGAGTAAAGGCTGAACTTTCCCAACGCCGGAAGTTTTAAGCTTCGCCGGGATTTTTATGATTATGGAATCTGATATGATAACGTTCGATAATTGAATAGCTGCAAGCGTTTGCATTCTTTGAGCCGTTGTGAGAGCAAGGAGTGTTGGTTAACAACCAACTTCCTCGATATCTGTTCCAGCGAAAGATTTCCATGTGGATATAAAGTGGCCAAATGATCAATCACTGGAGATGGATCCCAGATGAAATCATAACGAGGGCGTTGTGGTTTTAAAGTTGCGACACCCTTGAAAAATTTCGTTATTAAAGGGTGAGACCCTATCTCTTCCGAAGAAATAAGAGATATGGCTGAACGATATGTATTTAAGGTAGCATAAGAGCCTACCTCCGAAAAGAAAGCGGATAAGAAATCTAGAAAAACAAAAACCGACGGGGCAAAGCAGCTGATCCCCTTCTGTTTACAGAAAAACCACCATAATCTAAGGGGTTTTGAATATTGCGCTATTATAGCGTCCAAAACTGATGCAAGCGTTGCAGTCAGTGCTGAGAACGGTGTCCCCTTGAGCAAAAAGACTTGCCGGATAATTTCGCGGCTACCAGGGAAATCCTGTTCCAAGCTGGGTGAACGTCTCTGAAAGGAGATGATAACATGTTAATGTCCGGTTCAAATTGGATTGGTTGGTTGACTATAAGTTGATTGAATAAAGGAAACCATGGCTGGGCTGGCCACCAAGGAACAACGACAACCCCTTCAGCCTTATCAGTAATGATCTTCCGTAAGACCTTGAAAATCAAAATAAAAGGGGAGAATGCATAAAAATAAAATGTGCTCCAATTTAATGAAAACGCATCAACTGCTTGTGCTAAAGGATCCGGATGCCAAGAGACAAAACGTTGGCACTTACTGTTAATCGATGTAGCGAACAAGTCAATATCGAAACGACCAAAATAACAGTTAATTCTGTCAAAATACTCCTGTCCAAGAGCCCACTCTGTTTCTTCCGACACAACTCGTGATTCAGTGTCTGCCTCAATATTCTGAACCGAAGAGATATATAAGGCATATATAAATATATCTCGCTTTGCGCACCAATACCAGATTTTACGGGCAAGTTCGGATAAAATGGGGAATTTGACCGAACCCATACGATTAATATACGAAAGAGCCGTGGAATTATCTACCCTTAAAAGAATGTTAGATCCTTGTAAGTGAGAGGCAAAGCATCTCAGTGCGTGAAATGTAGCTAAAAGTTCCAAATAATTAATATGATGTTGTTTGTCCTCTGGTGACCAAAATCCATGAGTCCGAGCTCCACCAGACGCGGCTCCCCATCCTGTTAAGGAAGCATCAGAGAAAATCTCAATATCGAAACGACCTGATCGAATATAATTGCGTTGTGACTTGTTTTTAAAAACAGCCTTCCACCATAAAAGATCCTCTCTGAGCGAAGCTGGGAGAGGCATCTGGGCTTCAAAATTATCGTTTGTTGCTTCAAGAGCTAGAAACTTTTCTCTCTCTAGGATTTTGGTATGCAGCATACCATACTGTACAGCCGGGCAAGCAGATATCAGAGAACCAATATAACTTGCCAAAAAACGAATCTTACAGCTGCTTTTACTTAACATGGTAAGAGTCATCTGTAGAAGATTATCTCTTTTGTCGGGCGGAATCGAGACCGCAAAATATTGGGTATCAAAAATAAAACCCAAAAATCGGCAAGAGTTCGTCGGCGTGAGTACACTCTTACGTCTGTTAATAATAAAGCCTAGAGAGGATAACAGGTTCATCGTTGTAGTGACATTTTCTGCACATTGATCATATGTGGGTGCGATGAGAAGAAAGTCGTCCAAGTAAACCACCGAAAAAAACCCTCTTTCCTAAAAGAATATAAGACTGGTTTTAAGATCTTCGTGAAGATATATGGGGCTGAAGCTAGTCCAAAAAGTAGGGCTCTAAACTGGAAGAATTGATTCTGGAAACGAAATCGCAGAAATTTTCTATCATCCTGGTGAATAGATAAAAGGAGGTATGCATCCTCCAAATCAATTAAGGCCAAAAAATCATCTGCGGAGAGGAGGCGAATTACCATTTTCCAGTCCTCTAGTTTAAAATGCGGAGCTAAAATAAATTAATTGAGACGTTTTAAATTGAGAATAAATCTCCAACCTCCCGATAATTTCTTAATAACAAAATATGGAGAAAAGAATTGGTCCTTGCATTCCGTCACAATCTCGATTGCTCCTCTAACGAGAAGTCGAGAAATTTCCTGGGAGCAAATTTACTCCTCAAACTTAGATAGGTGGATAGGAGGATCATTAACCTGAGAAGGCGGGTGTTGTGTGAACGGTAGCCTATAGCCAGCAATGGTCTGTAGGATTTTCTGGTCTGATGTAATTTCCTTCCACCGGGAAAAAAAATACCTGCCGGCAATATTTACCTCCTCCTGGCCTAGTGTCTCCTCGACTGGGACCTGGAGCGATATGATGACCGGTGATTGTTGTTCGCCGCCCCTGTTCTCCTCGTCGCCGATCTCGGGTATCTCACAGAGGCGCGGGCATTTCCCAATTTAACGGGGGCTACCTCCGTCGGTTGTTTGATCGGCTGCTGAACCCTCCGAGATATTGCTAGCGGCGTTTTAATGATATCCTTGGATGATTTTTCTATAGAGGCCGCTTTCTTTATCTGTTCTCCGAAAGAAGAACCAAAAAGGAGATCGTCAGCTGGAATAGCATCCGCTGTATTTTTAGCGATCAAATTAAGGGCGGGTGTGACCTGCGCCCTTCTAGTCAGAGAAAGCCGATAAAAGAGGTCCGCCAGAATTTTCGCTCCCTCATTGACCTTTGTGACCGCTATGCGAGCTTCAGGGCCGAGAGAATTTTGCGTAACTGGCCTAAGGAAATCTGTTATGGCTTTGCCTAAGGCGCACAGTGCTATGCCCACCTGATCTTGGTTCTTACCTCCATATTCATCCCTCTTGACCATGGAGTTGTTTTTGAGTGCTATTTTACACTCTTGATTCAAGGTGGGGGCCTTAAGAAAAGCTACTGTCTCGGGGGGAGGGGGGGGGAGTATTTTTTTAACAAGAGCTCTCGTTGATCTGCGGGAAGCCCGTTACGGGTCAGATCACGCCACCTCTGGGTTATTAGCTCGTTCTAGGGTAAGATTTCCTCTCCCTCCAGCTCGGAACCAAACAATTGTTTGGTAAGCGAATCTGTATTATCTTCTTCCGAGGCGGAGATTATGGGCAAGGCGTCTTCTAGCGTAACACGTTTAGATGGCCTAGGGGGCGAGTCGTCCTTGCCTAAGATCTTACCTGCCATAGCAAAAAAAAATTTGGGTAGTCCGAATAATTGGGCAAAAAAGGTTGTGTTGTCATGCCGCCTGTATTTCGCAAATACAGATCCAGCAATATCGTACACATCTGAATTTTGGGGGTCCGTTGGTCCCACTTGTCTCGCAAAGGATACCAAAATATTATCATTCAAGTCAGATCTCTGAGCGATAGATTCTGACTCCATACGTGACCCCTGGTTCTCCTGTTGTACAAGGGAAAAGGACGCGGACGCAGACGGGGAGGGGTGACGGGGCGCTCTAGCCTCTCTTTGCGTCAAAATATCAAGTAAGTGGGACATTTTCTTCTCCAAGCCCGCCAAACGGTCTGCCGATGGTGACCTCTTCCTCTTCTTTGACTTATAAACCGATTTTTCCATACCTGAAAAGCTGAAAACTAAAAAGGAAACAAAAAACCAAAAGGAAACTACGCCTAACGTGTTGAGGAATCGCACAACAGGAAAACAATAAAGGCTCGTGAGTGCAGTTAGGCGCGCTTGAGTGTAAAAGAGCGGCGCCTTTTTTAAGGCTCCTGGGTAGTCACCGCAGCCATATTAGATTCGTGACGTCAGAAGCGAGAAATGACACGCCGAGAATTCTTGCGTGCCATTTCTAAATAAAATGATAATTTAACAAAGTAACACTCTGGATCGCTTTAAGACACCTGTAAAATTGTCCGAAAACTATGCTTTTTCCTTGACAGGTTATAAACAATCGTTAAATCAACAGTAAAACGAAGCCTAATTATGCGAGAAAACACACGGTTGACAGCTGTCTGTATGAGTAGAAAATTCTCCTTCTACGTTGGGCTTTCCCTGCTAATCTTAGTTTTCGGATAATTTTACAGGTTTCATGAACACGTCACATATCACAGTACTAACATTTAACGAATATTAATGAAATGGCACGCAAGAATAAATTGGGTAGTCAACATGTCATTTTTTTCACGCCTAATAGTTCATCGATTCTCCACCTAAGACGCTGCATAAGAATTTCTGTCATATGGACATGTCGGTAACGGTACTAAGCTATATATATTCTGTATTTATCGCGTTTATTTTTTTGTAAACAAATTTTTAAATTATAAATTAACATTTTGTATGTTATTCAGTAATTTACTTTTATCGAATCAATTGATTAGGTCAAACTGTTACACTATTTATTTATACGATAAATCGACTGGGTAAATTCGACTAGGTTTTTATTCCTACCACAATTATGTCGCTACTGTCAACGCGGAGTTCACGGCTGCGGGACCAGGAGCCTTAAATTTAGTTAAAAACCTGTTGAAGATAGCGCAGCGGAACGCTACTACGATTATCCATCCGGACGAGACATTGCATAATAACCATTATTAATAAATATAATGTATTAAAAGCATAACTTGTCGACGTGAGAATTCAGGAATAAATATATATAATATATTTTTAAAAATAATGTACTTTAAAAAGTATTAAAAAAATATATAATAAGAAATTTTTAATATTTAATTTCTCATTATATTTGTCATATCTGTTTAAAGTACATTACTTTTTGAAAATATAATAGTTGACACATTAGTGCAAGATATAAAGATTACGCATAAGCATCAATTGATCTTGGTCAATTTAAGATACATGCATGCTGTTTGTTGAACTATTATGTCTTTGCTGTGTACTATTCGTGTGTTCTCACAAGTATCAATTTTGTAATTTTCCACAATAGTAATGAGCGATATTTTTGTTTGCAGTATGCCAAACCGTTCACCTGCGGAATATCATTAATAAGAGAAAAGAAAATAATTTTTATATTATTCTCTGCTGATTATTCAATTATTACAATAATCAACAATATTCTGTTTCTTGAAATAACTAAATATTGCTTTTACATACCAATACAATTTCTTGGACCATGTCCGAAGGGTAGAAAATACATTAAAGGTCTTGATTTGGCCGCTTCATCCATGAATCTTTCAGGATCGTAAACTTCTGGATTTGGATATATTTCTGGGTTATGATGAATGCCATGGACAGGTATACCAATTAATTGATTTTTCGGAATAGTGACTTCAGAATTTCTAAAAGTGTAGGCCGATGAAGCCTGTCTCTTTAATAGTTCTATTAGCGGATACTTTCGCAACGTTTCTGGAAATCATTCATAATTATAACCGAAGTCCAACTTCTTTTTTCCTTATCTCTTAACTGTAAATTTTTTTGCATATGTTAAGTGTCTATTTTGTGTGTTGGTTCTTTTTTGTTTAGTAAATGTAGCTACCAATTTATTAAATAATTGACCAATGTTAAGTAATTTGGAAAAAGTTAACTGTTAGTAAATAATGTTGACACTTTTTTTATAGAAAAGAATGTCTGAAGATAATGATAATAAAATTTTAAGTAGATTTCTTATTGTTAAAAACAAAATAGAAGTTATGTTAGTTATTATTAAGATCAAACAGCTAAAAATAAACAAGATTATGATTTAATAAGTAAATATTTGTAAAATAAGATATTTATTAACTTTAAACCACATATAATGGAAGGCTCCATATGTTTAACAAACGATAAATAATGAAAATGGCGATAAGAGCCGTTGCAGGATGTTCGTGCTAAATTTTTAATTTTTCTTAAAGAAATTAGTAAATTAGTCTACAAGAGACAGTTAAATTGTACACCGATCTCAATTCGAGATACTTAAAGTGTACGAAA